TAAAACTCACCCCGGGCATGAGTGCATGTTTGCCCAAAATCCCAAAAGAGATAGCAGCATGGCCATCCCCCATGGGAATATAGCAAATTAAAAAAAAAAAAAAAAGTAATTAAAGGGGTAGGAATGTGGGGGTGCAGGAGGGCACGAGTGACAGATGTGGCTTGGGATGGGGTGGAGCAGGCACTGGGCCCCTTTTTCCTGCTAGAGGGCGACTTTCCCTCCACCTTCCGGAAACAAGTAAACCATGTGCCATGCTGCTGGGGAGGCAGAGGGCTGTGGGGGTAACCATGAGCTGAGAGGTCAGGGCCCCAGGTTCCAGCCCAGGCCACACCACATACTGGCTCATCTATAAACATGGCGCAGGTTGGCCTGAATAATCCTTAAGGACCTTTACAACCTTAAAAGAGCAATTCTATCTCAGCATGGATCCCTGCCTACAGTTCCCTCTCAGTGTGGTCCCCCGCAAATCCCATTTGTGGGGATTGCTGCCTTTCTGCCCGGGACCTGCCCAGTCCTGTCTTTAATCTCTAGGTTTCTCATTCTGCTCCCAGTTTTAGGTGAGGGGTGGAGGGGATCGGATTGTTTGCCTCCTTAGATGGCTTCTCCTCTAAGTGGTTTATAATCTCTCAGAGGTGACCTGGCCAGGCCTTCTTGGACTGAGGCCAAGCGGTTATCTCTGAGCTGTCAGGGGAGGGTTAAATGCTTTTCCCTGGAGGAGCTGGTCATGTGCAGGGCTCTGAGTCAGCACCCAGCATTACCTTTTTATGGCCCCAAAGAGCCTGCCCCCCAGGGGCTCCCTCCTAGCAGCAGACAGACTGTGGTGCGGACCCAGGGGAAGGCCCAGCCAAGGTAAATACTGACTCTGCCAAGTACAAGGCTAATACAAGCAGGTACAGGAGCACAAACACATTACTAGGAGATGTGGGGGGCGGAGCCCTGCCCACCAGAGCCAGTGACCTGGGGGGCGGGGTGTGGACCCTGGGCTGGGAGTTGAGTCAGGGGAGGTTGCAGGGCCTTGGAGAGAGCTTGGGAGCCTCAACTTGCCGTGGTAGTCGTGGCCTGGCCTCTCTCTACATAGCAGCCAAGGGCACCCCTGGGGGCAGGGGCAAGTGAATGGGGTGGAGCTAGGGGTACCCTTGACAGTCTCATCACACTGCAGTGTCCCCAGCCCAGGCCATGCAGTGTGGCTGAACCTGGAGTAGAGTTTTTTTAAAAAGATTTTTGCCATATGGTCTGTGTGCTTGCCGGAGAGAGACAAAGAGAGAGGGAAAGTGAGAAATCACTCCTTGGGGGGAAACGGCCACGCCACAATCCCTTCTCCTTCATTCTCCTCTTGGGAATTTTGGAACATGTGCCCAAATGTTTTGCAAGCTGCTGGGTCTTGGACTCGAACCGTGGAGTTGGCCATGTGGGATACAGCTGTCTTAACTTCCACCTGTTGGCCCCAGAGGAACTTATTTATTATTTTTAAAGGATTTTGCTGTAGGGCACATGTGCTTACTGGAGAGGAGGGGGACAGAGGGAGGGAAAGTAAGAAATCACCCTGGGGGGTTGACCACGCCACAATCCCTTCTTCTCCATTTTCCTCCTGGGATTTTGGGCACACAAGCACATGAGCCCAGTGTGATTTTCAAGCCATCTGCTGGCCCCCCCAAGAAGCACTTTTTAAAAAAAAAAAGTTTATTTAGATGTTAGCAGGTGGCATGGTGGTTGAGGCATTGGACTCCCACATGGCCGGCCACAGTTCAGGTCCTGGACCCGGCGGCTTGCTTTCTCCCTTTCCCTTTCTTTCTCTCTGTCACTCTTTGATCAAATTTAAAAAATAACAATGGCAAATGAAATTAAATAAATAAATAATTCTTTAAAAAAGTAATAATAGAGTAAAATAAATCATTCTATTTAAAAAGTATATTTATTCCGTGAGTGAGAGAGATCCAGAGGGGGAGACAGAGAGATAGGTGCCCCCAACAGAGCCTTCATGCTAAGATCCACTCCCAGTTTCCAGCAGCGTGGCTCTTGGACAGCCATGCACTTGGTATTTTCGGGGAGGGTCTCAGATGCGAACCTGGAACCTTCCAGTGTGGGCACCTGCAGAGCAGCACGTTGCCCCTGCACTGGCTCCTGTGGAGGCCCCTGTAAGCTGGACCTGTTACAGAAATGCTGCAGCGGCGGCAGGGTAGAGGGAGAAGGGTCAGGGGTGTGACTCCTTGGGTCCCTCTGGGTGTGGCAGGTTGTGATAAGGAGGCTTGCCCCCTTACACACCCGTCTCAAACCTGGGATCCCCTTCCCAGGCCGCTGTGAGGTGGGAAGGTGTGTGAAGAGCAGGCAGGAGGAGAGGAGACTAGGAGAGAGGGAGGGAGGGAGTGTGTGGGGTGACCCAGGGAGGGGGAGCAGGGGTGGAGACTAGGGAGGCGCCTGGGCTGAGAGGAGAGAGGGGGCCTTGGTCAGAACCCCCTGGACCCAGTGCCTGCCACCTGCCACGTGACTTCTCTGACCTGCTGTTGCTGCACCAGGGAAGTGGGGACAAGCTCCCCTCCCTAGCAGGGGTGTCAGGTGACCATTGCTGTGATTCTTATCACATCCTCAGTTAGGAGGCTAGTTCAAACTGGCTTCGAAACTCAAAGATGGGTCAGCTGGTGGTGTGGTGGTTAAGGAGGCTGGATCCCACACAGCCAACTGTGCAATTGAGTCTTGGACCTGGTGGCTTGAAAACCGTGCCGGGCCTGTGGTTTGTGTGCCAAAATCCTGAGAGGAGAATGGAGGAGAAAGGATTGCTGCATGGCCATCCCCCCGGGGATGCTTTCTCACTCTCTCTTGTGAATGCACTAGCCCTATAGCCAACAAAGCAAAAAAGAAAAGACAGAAAAAGAGAAGAAAAGCATACTGGGGACTGATCCTAGTCCCCTTGAGACCCAATTCTGCATTTGTTTGCACGTGGACATGAGGTCTTACACTCCCCTGGAAACTTCTTGACTCACCTCTTTACAGATCAGGCCTTTATTGTTGAGAGGAGAGGAGAACTCTGGTTGTTTCGTGTCTTATTCTGCAACCCTGTGTCTCTGTACCCTGAGAGGCTGGATGAGGCTGGAGGCCCTCCCGTGTGGCCAGATGGCTGGATGCTGGCCTGGGGGCCCAGCGCGCAGAAGCGGGCGCTGGGATGGGATTAGCAGGCACGGGCTAAGCCTGGTTGCGGTGGCTGTGGGCAGCTGGTTCCCCACTTGCATAAACGGGGCCAGGAAGCCAAACTTGTTTTTGCTGGCAAGAGCCACAGTGAGCTGCAAGAGTTGAGAAATCTGTGTCTCCGTGCGCATGTTTTTCTCTGGTTATTGACATTTGTTAAGTTTACTTGGAGAGGGAAAAATGGAGAAAAACAAAGCTATTTGCGCTTCTGGCACTCAGCATGAGGTCTCCAGCAGGGAAGAGCTGCACTCCGTGGAGCTGTGCCGCAGTGTGCCCGGCTCCTTCTCCTGGAGGCCCGGTTATGGTGGGGTGGTGGGGGCCCAGGGCCCAGGGGAATATGTTTATGGAGGCGTTGGGTAGGGAGTTTGAGATTTACTGGGACCTAAACTCTCTTCCCCTTGAGGAACTGGGGGTGAGGGAGGTTGTGAGAATTTCCCTTCCCTCGAGCTCTCCTGGGAGAGACGTGTAGGAGAATGGAGGAGGGAATGACAGGCCACCGGAATGACAGGCCACCATCCCTCTCCCTAAGCCGTCGCTATTCAGATATTAAGCCCATGGATTAATCGTGTGCTTTCAAGCTGCCAGTGTCCGAGACACACAGGCACACCTTCTGCCCGCGGAGAGCTTACAGTGTGGCAGGATGCGATGCTGGACCACAGGCGTGGGGTCTGGCAGGGACCCCCGGGCTGCAGTCTGAGCGCCCACTTCACAGAGGAGGCAGCCCGGCTCTGCCAGGGACAGTGACGCGTGTCCAGGGCTGCCTGCGAGTCATTGGCAAGGCCAGAAATAGAACTGGGTCTCCTGACACACCGAGCTGTTTCCTCTATGCCAAGGGGCTTCCTGCTCTTAGACATTATTTATAGTAAAGAGGAAACCGAGGCACGACTGCATTTGTGTCAGCTCAACCCCATCCAGTTAATGGTGGCTAACCCACCAGCCCAGGCTCCGAGGACGCTGACGCCGACTCGAGGAGGCCCTCTCAGGAGGTCTGCTTCTGGAGGAGATACGCCTCCCGTTCTGATCTCAGTCCAGGTGGCCCCTGCAGCATCCCGTATCTTCTTGGGAGCCTAGAACGAAGGGCGCTCCCTTCCCGCACCGGACATGGTCTTGGCCGGCACAAAGAAGGCCAGTGGCCCCGAGGCGCCCCTTCCCCTCCCCGCCTGTGCCATGCTGTGTGACACACCGCGGCCAGCGCCCAGCTGGGTGGGTCTCAGGGCGATCAGAAGAAAAGCAACAGCGAGCAGCAGAGGTGCTCCTGTTCTGGGGGCAGGGGCTGGAAGTGGGGGGGCGCTCGGCTTGCGCATGCCTTGAAGGGGCCTCCTCTGCCTGCAGAGCCAAGTCTGAGCCCCTCGGAGGGAGCTCACCCTCTCCATGTTCTTTATTTCCTTTCAGTTTGCTGTAGGACACAAGCGCTCACTGGAGAGACAGTGAGAGACAGAGGGCGGGGGAGAGGGTGGGAAGTGAGAAAGTACCTTCCAGAAGGGATGGCCATGCCGCACTCTCTTCTCCTTCTTTCTCCTCTCGGGATTTTTGAGTAAGCATGCACACACACCTGGGGAGTTTTTTAGGCTGCCGGGTTTGGGACTTGAACTGTGCAGTTGGCCGTGTAGGATTCAGATGCCTTAACTTCCATGCCACCTGCTGGCCCAGGGCTCTCAACTTTTGATGCCTTTTCCTCCTTATGGACTGTCATTCCCTGTGATAGTACTTATCACACTCCACTCATTCCTCAAGGTTTAACACAGATTTCTCTTCTGTTATAGACTGACCCGCTTCTTAACTCCGTCAATATGTCGGGGACACTTACCTCTCGGTGGCCCGTATTGTAGGTGGCTTTAACTTCCCCACAGGGTTTGTGGTGGCTGAACAGGATGATGGCATGGGAAAGGGGGCAGGTGCCCGCTCGGTGGTGTTCCGTGACTGCCTGATCTCTGTCCCCTGTCCCCGACCAGGGGCTCCAGGCCTGACACATGGTGGGAGCACAAAAATTCTTAAATTCCTAAGGAGGGGACAGGCACAGGCTTGCAATCCTGGCCCTTTCTTGAATTCCTAAGGAGGGGACGGGCACAGGCTTGCAATCCAGCCCCGAATTACTGGGAGACTGCTCAAGGCCAGCCGCTCAGCTGTGTGCTCTTGGCTAAATTTCGGCATGTGCAGGCCCCATCCCCGCGCCTGCTGTGCACAGGTGGGAGTGTGGGCCTGGCTGGAGTGGAAGTACTGACCTCAGGACGCCTTCCTCATCTGCATCCCCACTGTGTCTCTTCCTTCTGGCCCTTCTCTTGCCGTGGGACTACTTAGGGAGGCCGCAGCAGACTCCGAGGGAACAGGAATAGGGACGGATGGGGAGAAATGGAGTCCGAGCCTGAGGGCAGTGCCTTGTGTCCACCAGGGAATCGGGCGTGCAGGGGGAGGGAGGGCCAAGGATGCAGGGTGCAGCAACAGTGACAAACACGAAGCTGTGAGGGGGCTGGGCACTGTCTGGCCTGAAGGTGCTCTCAGAAGCTTGTCCTGCTTTTGGGGACCCGCAGATGGCGTAATGGTTATGTTGTTGGACTCCCACGTAGTCTACCGTGGTTCAAGTTCTGGACCCGGTGGCTTAAAACTCATGCTGGGTGTGTATGTATGCGCGCCCAAAATCCTGAGGAAAGAATGGAGGAGAAGGAATTGTGGTGTGGCCATCACCCTCAGGGTGTGATTTCTCACTTTCTGTCTCTCTGGTGAGTGCACCCAGCCCTCCCCCTCCCCCACCCCAGTGCCCATTTACTGTGTCGTCTTTCTCCTTAGACATGGTTTAACTCTGGACAGACCCAGGCTACATAACTCCTTTGCTTTAAATCAACATGTATATACATACACATGTACACACACACACACATCTTTTTAAAAGAATTACTTATTTTATTTATCATTGTTATTATTTTTAACATTTTCTACAGGGCACATGCACTCACCAGAGAGAGACAGACAGAAATACAGAGAGGGAAAGTGAGAAATCAAGTCGCCAGTTCGGTACTCAGACTGCGGTCGGCCATGTGGTTCCAGCCACCTGCTAGACCCCCAAATACATTTTTATGATAAGAGTAATTCAAGCAAGTTACATAAAATTTGAAAACTGTCAAGAAATAAAACGAAGCGAAGGTCAAATAGTTACTTAACTCTCCCAGGCTGAGCCACTCGGGAGGCTCCAGTTTCAAGTCCCTGCACCTCTCCGAGTACACCAGGCATGTGTGTGCCCAGGCTCTGGGGCTGCCTGAGCTGGGTGGTCACGGTGTCAAGACCCTGATTTAGGGGTGCTGGCTCTCTCTCTCTTCTCTCCCTCACACTTATGGAACACATAAATAAAAAATAAACTTTAAAACAACAGAGTGAGAGAGATTATATTTAGTCTCGTCCTCTGGGGACGGGGCAGGGGCACCGGCTGGGCACTTCGGTGAACGTCACTTCTTCAAAATGGTGCTCCCAAGGCCTCACTGCCCGCCGGGGCGTCACGGGCACCGACTCCGAGATTCGGGTGAGCGGGCGGGTGGGTGGGAAGGGCTGCTGCCGCTGTGACTTGAGCCACGTTGTGTTGCTGTCGGTCTTCCTTTTCCCGGTGTTCATATGAGCGTTTTGCGCAGTGCTTTTAGAAGCCCAGTTCACACAGCGCTCTTCACGGGTTCTAAAAGAAATGTATTTTGAAGTAGGGCTCTGACAGACAGTTCTTGCCAATGGATGTTTGATACTTAATCACCCCTCCACTCCCCCTTTTTAATAGTGACTCAGGTTTAAAGATTCCAGAAAGCATTACTCAAGGTCCCTGGCAGAGGACGAAGCCATTATGTGACTCCCTGCAGCTCTGCTTTTGTAGAAGAGGAAGAAATTATTTGGTATTTCTCTGCGTTGCCCAAATACTCTGGCCATTGTTTGTGGGTGCTGGGACAGAACAGCTATTGTTCTGGCTGGTCACTGAACTTGGCAAGAACTTCGATCTGAGCTAGGCTGAGGGAAATGACCAGAGAGAGATTTCCTGAGTCTGGCAAAAGCAGAGAAGACAGCTCCCTCTGCCTCCAGGTTTATATATTTTTTTTCTTTAAAGTTGTTTTTTTTTTTTTTTTAAAGGTTTATTTATTTTTTCAGAGAGAGAAAGAGATACAGAAGGACAGACAGCCCCAGTAGGGTCTCCGGGCCACAACCCACCCTCAGCTTCAGCCAGCCTGGCTCACGGACGTGCACGCACACCCAGCGTGCGGAGATGCGAACCCAGGACCTTTCCCGTGTGGGTCCAGTGTGTTACCGCTGTGCTGCCCCCGGCCTCTAGGTTGGCATTTTCTTTCCTTAGCATCTCCTGGTTATGGAAAGCTGGCTCCTCTGGCCCAGAGGTGCAGCACTGGCCCACCACATGACATGAGGGGCTCCACTTAGACCACTTGTCATCTGTGAAGGGTGCTCCTGGGAGTTTTCAGTGGGGAGCCCCCATCCCTGTGGGCACCTCTTGGGTTAAACAAACATATTAAGAACCTACTGGGAGCCAGCAGGTGGCGTGGCGTGGAGAGAGGGACCTGTGTGCTTCAGGACTGCGGCGTGGTGAGGAGCAGTGAAAGGCCAGGCCACCGTGGTCCTTGACCCCTACATTGGATTTTCATGCAGCTCACATCCGTGTCTGTGGTGTACAGGTGCTCCCGAACAGCCGTGTGGGGTTTGATTTCCCCTCATCAAGGGGTGTTGTGAGCATTGCAGTGGGGCCACCCACGGCAGATGGACCCCTTTGGGCATCTTTATGCCTAGAAGTTTATAATTTGTGCATAAACTTGACATGATGTTAGGTTTCTTGTATATTTTTCTTTAAAAATGTTTTTTAATGGAAAAAATATGACTATGGGTGTGTGTGCACACACGAGAGAGAGGTCACTCCTAAATGGGGCATGCTCACACTCCATCCCGTCATTATTTTGGGCACACACGCATGAGTGCCTGTCATGTTTGCAGGATGCTGGGCCAGGATTTGAACTGCAGTAATCCATGTGGGATCCAGCTCCTATGCACAGCATTTAACCGCTGTGCTAGGGGACTGGCCAGGCTCTTTATTTTTAATAATTAATTTTTATTTATTTATTATTATTTTCAATTTGGCCAGAGAAAGA